GCGGTGCCCCCATGTTGTCCCATGGTGGTAGTGCGTGGTCCTTGGGGTTAGGTGCAAAGGAAGGCCTTGTGTCCTTCCTCTCCGCAGTTGAAGCATCGCAAGGGTTTGCCCATGCAATCCTTGCCTCTATGGTTCTTGTTGCATTTCGGGCAAGGAAAGCTCCTGGCACTAGCGTCGTTGTTCCACGGAGGTGGCCTTTGGTTGGTCAGGTTACTTGGTCTTGTGTTGGCATCGCTTTTTGTTCTTTTTACTGGTGGTGTCCCTCCTCCGGGGTTCCTCTTTCACAATTGCTCCTGAACCCCGTGTTGCAGTAGTTGGATTCGGTAGAGATTAGCGGCGCTGGAGTAAGCCTCGTTGAGAGTCCGAGGTCTGCTTACCACTAGCGCTTTTCGGGCTTCAAAGTTGAGGCCCGATACGAATCTCTCTATTTTGGTTATCTCGGTGGGGACTAGCTCGGGTGTGAAGCGTGCTAGTTCAAGGAATCGTTTGTGGTATTCCATAACGGTAGTTGTCCCTTGTTTTAGATGGAGAAACTCTTCGTACATGGAGGCTCTCACGTGTGTTGGATAGAATCTCTCTCGTAGTCGCGTTTTGAGTTGTTCCCAGTTGAACCCTGGTTCTTGTTGGTATGTGGGACCCTCGTGGATCGACCAGAGATCGGCCTCGTTTCTGAAGTAGAACGCGGCTATCTCCACGCGGCGTTCTTCTGGGCATTCCACTAATCCGAGAATTTTGTCAAGGGTTCGGATCCACTCCTCCAGGATTACAGGATCCTCCTCTCCTGAGAACGTGGGTGGTCGGTGGTTAGAGACTTGTCGGGCGAAGTCTGCGTTTGCGTTCGTTGGAGGTGGTGGGGGCCTTTCGTTGCGGAGGGCCACGTCGCTTAGTGCTTGGGCGACTTGTGTTAGTTGTTGTAGCATTTGGGTTAGGGGGTCGTGCGCGGCGGGTTCTTGGGTTCTTGATTGTCTTCTGTTGGGTGCCATGTTGTCGTCGTCCTGGGCCAATGTTTTTAAGAACGTTAAATTGGGGCTGGGTGTCCTTCTTCGTGATAACGGGGGGAAGTTTTCTCCAGGTAAGGGAGGTTATGTGAGGGTTTCACAATCTCACCGCGTGTCCTAAGATTCCTGAATCCTATGTTCCTGAATACTTAGAGTTCGAGCCTATTGTCCTAAAGTCCGATCTTAAGAGTCTTATCCTAGGGTCAAACTTAGGCTCTGATACCAACTGTAACACCCCAGATTTTCAAGATATTTAAAACTTATAAAATAAAGGTGAAATCTCATTAAATCCCAAACAGAGTACGAGAGTACGGGGTGTTATGCCACACCTGAGCTAGAGAACTCAGGTGCACAGGCTAACTAACTAATGTCTTAATAATGCAAATGCATAAACATGGCACGCAGGTCGAAAGGGAAACTAACTACTTCTACGTCCCAAGCTCTAGCGCGCTCCAGTGATTTATTCTTCTGTGCCTGAAAGCCAAATATATCTGTTCAGCGAGAGATGCTGGTAACCCACTCTAACGCGTTGAAATACAATACATATATATATATGTATATACATAGTTATATGAAAAGTCATTTCGAAGTATGAAGATATATCCAACGAGACTCTAGTTTTCAAATCAGGGAACCGACTCGACAGATAGGGGTACACACAATCAATAGTCATAATCAAGCATAGACAATTCTCACATAGGGAACAGTTATAGATAAGCACAACCAACGGTCACAATTAAGCATTACTAGTAAGAGTCCTATGGTCATATTTCCATAACAGTCACATCATCAATTCTTCTCATCTCATCACATAGCACACTTTGTTGGCGCCACAGGACCAATCGCATGCCCATACATGAGGGTCAGCGCATATAGCTCTGACACGGCCCCGCAGCACCCTGCCCCGTCTCACATTACGGAGGAGTCGATCGCAACCGATTGATGAACCGCAGTTCTATATAATATTTATATACCTGACCGGTATTTACCAGCCTGGTTAACAGTTGGGATGGTTCTCAACCCATTCAACTGCCCGTATAGTGGACCTTTGTCCTATATAATATTTATATACCTGACCAGTCTTTACCAGCCTGGTTAACAGCCGGTATGATTCTCAGCCCATCCGACTGCCCGTATACCCCGATTGATCTCAACCAAATCGGGGTAACATGCACACATAACACATAGCAACCACATGCAACCCATATTAACACATTGGGAAGGGGGAAAACGTATAACGAAACCTACACGTGGTCATCCACAACTAGGAATACTCCTAAGGGGTTCATACTTCTTATACCTGGGTCAACGGGATACCAATTCAACTAGCATGCAATATATGAGACTCATACAACCTACGAACGGTACCCGAAACATCAACTAGACATAGGCACGATAGACGGAGTCCGTTGGGACACCAAGGGGGTTGGGGAAACATCAAACGGGGAAGCCGGGGTCCCGAGGTGTGGGAATTTCCAGCGGGTAGCCGGTGGGTGAGGGTTCACCCGCTGGCGTTACTGTTCCGGGCAGCGGGTGCCCGGCGGGCAGCTGCCCGCCCGCCGGCTGCCCGCTACCGGAGCTGCCCCCTTTTGACCGCGGGTAGGTGGCGGGTCCCCTACCCCCACTTACCCCCCACTGACTCATTAACAACAAAAACGCCCCGGGAACCTTCGTGGAACCCGAGACCATGCGCAGACACTTTCAAACGCTATTGACAACACACGTAGACAATTAACGGATCAAATCAAGAAACAAACGGCACATAACCTATCATGCTTTTCTAATCATAATAAACACCCAATCATGCGAAATCCCACCCAATATACCAAGAATAACACCATACGAATTCCACGATATAACCTAGGGTTCTAATTATTTTTAAACCAACAAGAACACAATTCATTAAGATTCAGTAGGAATATCATATAACTATCAAGAACCTCATATAATCATTAAGAACATCAAGAACACCATGTAATTATCAAGAACGTCATATAATCATCAAGAACGCCATAATTATCAAGAACCCATCATCGTCAAGATCATCAAGAATATCAATGGAATCATAACACCAATTATCAATATAACGAATCATCAACATATAATAATATGGGGGATCCTAAGGGGGAATCATAACTATGAAAATAGGTTTTGTTGAGACATGGGTTACTTCTTAGCCTTAATTAATTCCTTGGCTTTGAACGGTCTTTCTTTGAGCTTTCTTGCTTTCTTGATTTCTTCTAAGGGGATTCTTGGAGCTCTTTGGGGTGGTGGGGCGTTTATTGTGGTGGGGGTTTCTAGGTGCCTCTTAAGTCCCCTATTTATATATTTAGGAGTCCTAGTTAGGAACTAATATTATGGGCTTGCTAATTCTATTTCTTTTGGGACTAAGGATTGGGTTTAGGGATAAGGGCCCGTGGACTATGGTGGGCCTTTCCTAATTAATTATTGTGATTTAATTCTTTCTTTGGGGGTAATTGATTAAATGATTTAATTGATATTAGGGGTCGTAACACGGGGTGTTACACATGGTATCTGTACTAATCCACGAGTTACCGCTATACAGAGTAACTCCAGAAGCAGATAAACTCAAAAGCTGAGCCAACCTCTTTTCAGACAGAACTACCTTCACACCTCTCACTTTAGAAGTGATCTCAAGCTTATCACCATCCTTTGTTACAACCATGTGACGATAAAATTCCTTAACTAGTCTCGGGTAAGTCTCGACCCTTATGGCGAGGAACTCATCCAACAAACCTTGGAATCTAAGCATATCCAACAAAGAATTAGGAAAAGATTCCGGGTCAAATGTTTTACCTTCAAGAACAAGGTAATGGGCATCCACCCATTCCACTTTACTAGCCAAACTTGACCTTCTAGGCATGGTAGCAGATGACCCAAAGCTCAACAAAAGAAGCCCACAACTCCTCCTTCCTCTCCTCTTCATTCACGCTGCCTCTCCCTCTCTCGCTGCTCACTCGGCGTCGCGGCAACGCAACGGTCGATGGCAAGGCTCCGGTGGACGGCGGCTGCGGTGGATGGCGATGGTGCGGCGGTGGTGCGTTGTCGGCAGGTGGGGTGGCGGGTTGCAGGTGAGGCGACGGGTGGGCGGGTGAATTTCGGCTGCTCACGGGTAGGGAAAGAAGAGAGAAGAAGATTTGGGAATTTAGGGATTTTTGGGGAAAAATTGGGGAAAAGATGATTTAATTTTGGGGATTTGGGTAAAGTGGAAATTTATGGTTTAGGTGGAATTAGAATTGGGTAGGTTTCGATAAAGATAATTAGCTCAAGTGATTTAGAGGTTGGGTTGCAAAGAGTATACCTGGGTTTGAAACTCAAGGCTTGCAAATAAACATTTTTCTTGACTTTTAGGCTACACAAGAAAGGATTTTAGTAAGTGTTTTCTATTCTCAAATTCAAAGAATACTTGGGAAATTTAGGTGGTTCTCAAAGGAAGGGTTGCAAGAATATCCAAGTGCAAAGATTATAGAATCAACCCAAGCATGATTCACTTCAAAGATAAATAACTAACTCCACAACGGATGGGATGGTGTTGAGCTGGATTCTTGTCAAGAAGGGTGTGAGTGTTGATGGTTATATACCGAAGCCCGTAGGAAAGATGGTGTTGGATGCCACCAATCTTCGAAGTTGCAACTTGTTTCAGTTGGACGATGGTGATTACATCACTCTCGAAGAAGTTGCAAGGAAATCCCCCGAAGAAAGAGCTAAGTTGGCTGTAGAGCTCGAGATTCATGCTGGAAAGTTGAACCTTGCAGTCCAGAGTTTGGGAGGTGATGAAGAAGATGAGGGTGAAGCGGGCCATGAGGAAGAGGTGGAAGCAACTGAAGCTGCCGAGGCGGAGGAAAGTGATTCCGAAAGCGAAGAAAATCAAAGAAGAAGGGAAGCCCACACCAAAAGGGAGCATGATTCCATGACGCATGAGGAGCGTGTAGTCACCTTGCTTTGTCAACAGAACCGTATGATCGAAGAAGGCTTCCGTACATGAAGATGCAGTTCGTTGCCGTCCACCAGAAGCTAGATCAGATTGAGGCCAGCTCAAGTCGCAGAGGAGGTGATGACGAAGAGTCCGAGGAGACCACCGATGGATTGGAGAGTGAGTCGTTCTAGCTCGGTGTTGTGGTAATCCCGTTTACCTTTCCTTAGTTGTTGTTATCTTCTTAGTTGTTGTTACCGTTTGTTAGTTTCCTGTTGCTTGCTTTGTGTGCTTGTTCTTGCTTGTTTGTTTAGTTGAGTAGTTAGTTTTGGTGGTTTGTGTTTTGGGTTAGTTGTTTAGTTCTTGGTTCTTGGTTAGAAGTTGATGGTCGTGTTTGGTTTAGAGTTTGATATGCTCAATATCTCCGATGGTTTAATTCTTTCAATCCTTGTCTCGATATACCATCTTGCTTGCTTTGATGTCTTGTGAATCCTTTGGGTTTCGACCAAAAGAGAATGTTCTTGACACTCTTGTCACATTGTTGTTCCTTTTTACCGTTTGTTTTAATTCGTCGTACCCAAGCTTCAGAGACGAAGCGTCTTTGAAGGGGAAGAGGATGTGACACCCCGTAATCCAAATTCGATTAAGGGATTAATTAAGTAATTAATCCTAATTCAATTGGTAATTTAATTCCTTAAATTCCTGAAAATTCAACAGTCAGTGACTAGTAATTGACTAGTCAACCCAAAGTTAATGGTTGTAGCTAAAGCTTTGTGAGTAGTTACCTTTATTCCTTACACCTCTTCATTTTAGTAAGGGTATTCATGACATTTCACCTTATGTTAGTAATGCAAGCTAACCTAGAAGACACTCCTCATTCTTTTCCCATACACTTTCCAAACTTGAACTCCTCCTTCTCTCTAAAAGTTAGATAGCTTTTCTTCCAAGCCAAGTTGGAGCTTTGTCAAATCTTCAAAGTTTGTCTCCAAGATTCTACCTTTCATACATTTGAGCATCTAGAAGGGTAAGATCTATGTTTATCTTGCGTTTTTAGTGTTTTCTAAGGTGTCTTTCCCTAAAGATAGGATCTTTATGACCTTTTAGTGTGTTCTTGAAGTGGGTTTGGAAGGTGAACCTTATTAGGAGCTTGGTGAAGTGTTAATTGAAGGTTTTTGTCTTCAAGAGGTAACCCATGCTCTACAAAATCTATTTTGCTTACCTATATGATGATTTGTTGGATTCTACATGTGAGCTTGGTGAAGTGTTAATTGAAGGTTTGAAGGGTAGAAAGGGTTTTGAAATAAGGAGGGGGACGATTTTCCGAGGGAGGGAAAGGAATTCGGCTAGGATGGGTTAAAGGTTCTCGATCTTAAGTGACTATTCTGGTTTGATACTTTGATCACGTCGTATTGGCGAACTGATGATCCTTCTTCCTTGGTGTTGGCACTTGCCTGACTTTAAGATCCTTGTTAGACCTTGCTTCCCAGAAAAAAGTTTCATCCTTCTCTCCTATCTTGAGGGAATCTCCCGTGATGATTTATCACTTACTTCTTTAATGCGTCCAAGGTCTTGACCAAGTTTGGTCAACCAAGCCAATCTCTTAGGGCGCACTTCCCAAATTCTTCCCAAAATCTCTTGGGAGTCGATAAACTTTGGGTTGACTTTCTCTTCTTATTGAATTTCGTCTCCTCTTTAGTGAATGAAATTCTTAGTAAGACTTCATGTCTTCCCCGAGGTTCGGCTTGTTGTGCCCTTTGCTGTTACTTTTTAATGATGAAGGTGCCCTTGCATGCTCTTTTTCTTCTTGAAGTGCAGTTGGTTACCTAATCTCGTTGCGGAATGACTCGGTGACTTTACGAGTCATCTCATTTCCTTGTGGGTCCTTAATAACCCTTGAGTCCTTGGCACAAATTTGCTCATTTACCTTTTTGCCTAGCACCACGGACTACGTCATTCTTGATTTCATACAACTTGTAAGGAGCCCTCTGATCTGCTTGAACGATATCCATGGTTTGAAGGGGTCCAGGTCCATCCTTAGCATTTTGGCTTTTAAGGCCTTTGTGAGTCCCTAGCATGAGTTCCCAACTCACCTCCTTGGTTTGCACAATCCTTCACGCCAATCATCCATAGTCGGTTGCATTGTAGAGTCCAACTTCCACTCCACGTGTAATGCAATTGGTTGTGTTTTTCTGACGGTGTTTCGCGTGTCAAGGTCTTTTACCGAGGGAACCATGTTTGGGCAACCCATTGTTCTTTACCCAAGACTCACGTTCATCAACCGAGGCACACAAGCGCGCCACGAATCAATAAAACGAGGAGTTAAGAAATCAGCACATTGTACCAGTGGGCGCGAGGTGGGCGGTCGTCCGCCTGCGAAGCTCCTGTCAGGAACTCGTCAAGGTCCTGCCAAGGTCCCGTCAAGGACCCTTTAGGGTACCATCAAGTTCCCGTTGGGGACCCGCGGGAAGGTGACTAGGAAGAGTGAATTCCTTTGGGAAAAATCCCAAGAATGCACAGATTCAAGTCCCGACAAGCACCATGCCCATGTGCACAACAAAGGGGTTCGAATACATAGGATGACCCATCGTACAGTGTTATTGATCCTTAAGCACGAGTTCTAGATGAGTCGAGAATCTCGTATGTTCTTTCTGCTCAGTAGGTTGGGTCGGGTTTCCAATTAGCAACCTCGTCATCTTCACTGGGTAGTTGGTTATAAGCCGACTTTGTCTTTTCCTTGCTTGATTAATGATAAGCCTTCTTTGTTTTTCTTGGAGTTCGGCTTGTCGTTCACTATTTATTTAATCCTTTGGTGACCAAGTGCTTGGTGATGCATTTCTCTTTCTTGGAATGCATTTGATTGACCACCCTCGACGTCGCATGGTGTTTTGGCGATTTTATGTGTCACATGCACTTCTTACGATGCTTTAAAACCATCAAGGTCCTTGTTCCAAGGTAAGACCTTTATTGCAGGGAGGCTTTAGTTGTATGATACTTTCCATGCGTCTGTTGCCTCTTCTTGCCATGTCGAGTCCTTTTCGACAATTCGCACTAAAGGTTGACGAAGGATGTTGTTTATGCGTTACTTTACATCCTTGCATTTAATTGCCGTTCCCAGTCCCTTTTACAGGTGGTCCCCCACTTCTGTTACTCCTTCCTTTGGGTTTGTTCATGAATTTCCCGTTTGTAGAAGTTGGATTTGATAGAGGTCGGCAGCACTGGTGTAGGCTTCGTTAGGGGTTCGGGGTTACTTACAATTAGGGCCTTCTGGGTTACGTAGTTTGTGGTTTGTCACAGACTTCTTTATCTTGGTCGTCTCTGTAGGATCTAATCCAGGCGCGAAACGAGCCAGCTGGAGGAATTGTTTGTGGTATTCCCTGGCAATGGTCATCCCTTGTTTTTAGGTGGAGACTTTCCTCATACATGGTTGCACTTACGGGTGCAGGGTGGGATCGTCCTCGTAGCCGTGCCCCTAGGCATTCCCAGTTGAACACCCGATTGTTGCCCATAAGTGGGTTCTTACTGGATTTATCAAAGATCAACCTCGTGTCTTGAAGTAGAATGAGGTTATCTCTACGCTGCGTTCCTCTGGGCATTCCACTAGCCCGAGGATTTTGTTGAAGGTTCTGATCCATTCCTCTAGGAGTGTGGGATCCTTGGCTGACTTCTTGTTGGCGCCATGCTGCTGGTTTTTAGGGCCAATATTTATTGTAACGATGCGTTGATGTGTTGCACCCTTACCCTGGTGTGGTAAGCGAGTGTGAGTTCTTTAAATTAGTGAGGGATAAAGTGAGGGGAGGTTATGTGAATGTAGGCAGGTTTCACAATCTCACCGCGCGTCCTAAGATTCCTGAGTCCTATGTTCCTAAATACCTAGAGTTCAAGGCTAATGTCCTAAACTCCGGTCTTAAGAGTAATATCCTAGGGTCAAACTTAGGCTCTGATACCAACTGTAACACCCCGAAATTTTTAAACTTTTTGAAGCTTATATAATAAAGGTAAATTCTCATTAAATCCCAAAACATAATATAAAGAGTACGGGGTGCTATGCCACACCTGAGCTAGAGAGCTCAGGTGCACAGGCTAACTAACTAATATCCTCAATAATGTAAATGTATAAGCATGGCACGCAGGCCGAAAGGGAAACTATCTACTTCTATGCTTCAAGACTCTAGCGCGCTCCAGTGTCTACTCCTCTGTGCCTGAAAGCCAAATATATCTGTTCAGCGAGAGATGCTGGTAACCCACTCCAACGCGTTGAAATACAATACATATAGATATATACATAGTTATACAAAATAAACCATTTCGAAGCATGAAGATATATCCTAAGAGACTGTAGCTTTCAAACAGGGGATAGACTCGACAGATAGGGATAAACACAATCAATAGACATAACCAAGCACACACAATTCTCAATGTAGGGCACAGGTATAGGTAATCACAGTCAATAATTATATCCAAACATATCTAGTTCACTAGCATGTGTCCTAGGGTCACGCTTTCGTAACAATCACAACACCAAACCATCCATATCTCATCACATAGCACACTTTGTTGGCGCCACAGGACCAATCGCATGCCTATACATGAGGGTCAGCGCATATAGCTCTGACACGGCCCCGCAGCACCCTGCCCCGTATCGCAACACAGAGGGGTCGATCGCAACTGACCGATGAACCGCAGCTCATCATAGTTTGATCGCAACCAAACAGTGGACCGAAGCCCAAGAGTATGTCATCTGACCACAGCCAGGAAAATATGAACCGCAGCTCATGAAGAAACGTTTGATCGCAACCAAACGGTGGACCGCAGCCCGAAAGTGTAAATCTGACCGCAGCCAGCTTCTGAACCACAGCTCAGGAATAACAAATCCGATCGCAACCGGATTGGGGTATCATGCACACATAACACATAGCAAGCACATGCAACCCACATTAACACATTGGGAAGGGGAGAAAACGTATAACAAAACCTATGCGTGATCCTTCACATACTAAGAATAATCCTAAGGGGTACATACACCTTTTACCTAGGTCAACGGGGTACCAATTCAACTAGCATGCAATATATAAAACTCATACAACCTACGAACGGTACCCGAAATATCAAACTAGACGTAGGCACGATAGACGGAGTCCGTTGGGACACCACGAGGGTCGGGGGAACATCAAACGGGGAAGCCGGAATCCCGATGTGGGGTATTTTCCATCGGGTAGCCGGTAGGTGAGGGTTCACTCGCCGGCTGCCCGCCGGTGGCATAATTCCGGGCAGTGGGTGCCCAACGGGCAGCTGCCCGCCCGCCGGCTGCCCGCTGCCGGCGTTGCCCATGTTGGCCGCGGGTAGGTGGCGGGTCCCCTACCCCCCACTAACTCTTTTTCACCAAAACGCCCCGGGAACCTTTGTGGAACCCGAAACCATGCGTAGACACTTTCAAACGCAATTGACAACAATACGTAGACAATTAATGGATTCAAAAGCAAGAACATACGGCACATAACCTATCATGATTTTCTAAACATAATCAACACCCAAACATACGAATTCCCACCCAATATACCAAGAACAATACCATACGAGTTCCACGATACAACCTAGGGTTCTAATTACTTTTAACTCAACAAGAACACAATTCATCTTCTAATGTCGAGATTCGGTAGGAATATCACATAAACATCAAGAACATCATATAATCATCAAGAACATCAAGAACACCATATAATCATTAAGAACCTCTTAATACCATCAAGATCATCAAGATCACCCATGGAATCATAACACCAATTACCAAGATCAACATAATGAATCGTCAACACACTAGAATATGGGGGAAATCCTAAGAGGGGAATCATAGCTATGAAAATAGGTTTTGCGGAGACTTGGGTTACCTCTTAGCCTTAATTAATTCCTTGGCTATGAAGGGTCTTTCTTTAAGCTTTCTTCTTTCTTGATTTCTCCTAAGTGGATTCTAGGAACTTCTTGTGTAGTGAGAGATTATTGTGGTGTAAGATTTAGGTGCCTCCTATGATCCTATATATATATATATATATATATATATATATATATATATATATATATATATATATTCCTAAGAGTCATAATTGGGGTCTAAATACTATGGGCTTGCTAATTCCATTCCTTATAGGACTAAGGAATTGTTTTAGGGATAAGGTTCCATGGTCCATAGTGGACCATATTAATTAATTAAAGAGAATCCTAAACATAATCCGAATAGTAAAAGGCCTACTTCCTTTATTCCTAATAGATAACTAGGTCTAGAATTCCTAATTAGAATCTGAATACTAAAAGGTTTACTTTCTTTATTCCTAATAGGCTTAAGACTCTAATTTAGGCAAGGGTCCACGGTTCATGGTGGGCCTTATTAATTAATTAAAGGGAAACCTAACAGAATTAAATCATATTTAATTATTATTAACGGGATTAAGTAAATAATTAATCCGGGATTGAAGGCCGTAACACGCGGTGTTACACCCGAAGGGATTATTTTGTACAGTTGGTGTACCCGCGGGCGGAACGGCGGGCAGTGGCCTACCCCCGGGCAGTGGCCTACCCTCGCAAATGATTATATATATATGTATATATATATATATATATATATATATATATATATATATATATATATATATATATATATATATATATATATATATATATCCTATCTATGTATGATACTTAACAGGTATTGGTGGGTTACCAGCATTATTCGCTGACCGGGCGTCGTCCCATCTTTTATGTGTTTCTTTCAGGTAATGTGTAGACGATAGGGCGGTCTAGAACGTGTTAGTGTAGATCCCTTTGTTTTGAGTTGTTGTGGCCTGTGTACTAAGGATAGACATTAGTATTCCTGTTATGTATGGATTTAGATTGTGGATTATGCAGATGTTTCGCATGTGCGTTCACCTTTGGGTGAGCGTGTCATAGCACCCTTTATTTCCTGTTTATATAATCCCTTTTTAGTCTTCCGGTGTGTATGATGTTTTGGTTAGTTATCTGCATGTTTATGGTTTAATTCTGCATGGAAATTAGGGGGTGTTACAACAGGTTTCAAGAGGCCATTATCACTTAGTAAAGGCAAGATGTCACAAACAGAGTTCAACTGTTGTTCATCAACCGACCGCTGAACTATAAGTTCTCGCCAGATCATCGTAGACCATTTTTCTTGAGCTGTAGAAGAGACAAACTGAGGTTTATAGACTGTGGTGTTTGGATTTTCCGTAGAACTTTGGACTTCAGGTGTGATACTTCGTCCTCTTGAGCGAGTAGTTGGTTTCATCTTCCGGGTAGAGGTAGTAGGAACCACAGCAGGAGCCTTCACTAGTACAGAATTGAAAATATAAGTCGTATTTTCCACTACACCTTCAAGATAAAGGTGTCTTGTATAGAAAAAGGGATAACTTTCTGAGGCACCAATTACAAAGTGGTGCCTCGGAAATATTATTATTATTATAATAATATGCTAATCCGCGGCACCCGCTGGGAAACTTTGCCGCGAATATTATATTATTATAATAATAAAATTAGAATCCGTGGCACAGTCTTAAGTGGGTGCCTCGGATATAATATTATTATAATAATAATATTGAAATCCGCGGCACCCAACTAGACCGGAGCCGTAGATATTATTATTATAATCAAATTTGAATCCGAGGCACCCTCTTAGATTGGAGTCTCCGATTTCCACTCAACATTTACCCTACCAGATCAGATCTGTGTGCTAATTTTAACCCAAGTATAAAAAAATTACAACTGATCAAGAGAGTGCCCGTCGGCCACGCGTTCTCCTCAGATCTGATCTCACCTCGGCGTTCTCCTCCGATCCGTCCGCTGTGTCGCGGTCCGTCCGCGCGTCGTCCGTCTGCTTCGCGACCTCGCCTCCCTGTCCGCTGAGCCAGATCTGATCTCACGCACGCCGTCCGTCCACCACCCCGACTCTCCACCTCGCCTCCCTCTGCAACAACCGCTTCCTCGCGTTACGAACCACATCAAAGTTCCCACTGATATTGTAATTTCCTTTCTCGATCTCCTTGTATGGATGGGTTTTCGTTTTGTGATTTTAACACTCTTGATTTCCATGGAAGTCGTTGTTAGTAGTTTGCTTGTTTGCGTTTGGGTACTGTACTGTACTACTGATAGCGTGAATGTTAAGTGGGGAGAATTTGATGAGTTAAAAGTAAAAATTGTAACTTTTTAGCTGTGAGTTTTAGCCATGCATTTTTTTGGATCCTTATCCTACTAATTTCAGCAGTCTGATCTCTTTATTGGCAAAATCTCCTGGTTTTTGTATAGATTCTTGATTTTCTACATTTTTTGAGTTTCATGTCCAAATAGAATAGAATAGAATTTTTATTTCTTTCTTTCTTTTGATAATTCAAATTTTAATTTTGATCTTATAAGTTGATTTATGTATTTTATTGTGGCATGATCTTAACAAGTTTTGGAGTTAGAGGAATCTGAAGTCTCTAGTCTAGTCTAGTCTGCATATTGAGAGAATTAAGATGAGTTTGTTTGATTAAATTGCTACTAAACTTTCAGTTGGTTTATTAACTTGTTGTAATTAAGGAGAAGTGGTTACTGTGTTTGGTGGTAGGTTTGGTCACTGGTGAGGAGGTTTGATCAGCCACAGAAGTATAAGCCATTTGTTAGCAGGTGTACAGTTTTGGGTGATCTTGAAATTGGGAGTGTTAGAGAGGTAGATGTGAAGTCAGGACTTCCTGCTACAACCAGCACTGAAATGTTGGAACTTCTTGATGACGAGGAGCATATCCTTGGGATCAGGATTGTTGGTGGTGATCACAGACTCAAGGTACTCTTAATTTGCACTCAAAAGAATACGGTTTTTAATTGCCTTGATGATGTGAGTCGAATTTGTTTGCTTGCTACTTACAAGTGATATGAATAATAGTGGGCACAATGTCTCTTTATTGGCATTTGGTTTTTATAATTAGCGTCACACTGCTTTGCTAAGATTGTTTACTGAACCTGTCTTCATGCAAAACAACTCTTCAGTGATTACAGTCCACCCAGAGATAATTGATGAGAGAGCAGGAACACTGGTGATCGAGTCATTTTGGTAGATGTGCCTAAAGGGAACAGTCGAGACGATACCTGCTACTTTGTGAATGCCCTTATCAACTATAACCTGAAAGCTTTGGCAGATGTCTCGGAGAGAATGGCGGTGCAGGATGGGAATGGGATTGCATCTACAACTGTGACCTGGGCATCTAGTGCTCGACGGCCAACAGCAGCGCAGCTACCTTCCCCGCCTCGCCGCCGGCCGCCAACCGTCACCGGATCATAGATCGTGGTAGCTGTGCTAATAATTTCATTCTTTCGTCTATGGTATTTAATGTTGTTCCAACAATACATTTCTGAGCGTCTTTCGAATGTATGAATAGTTTGGGTGTATTTAAAATGTGATTTTGTCATACAGGTGGATGAGAATATCTGTAAGTTTGCCAAAAGGGGCATGACACCATCTCAGATTGGTGTGATTCTCATGGGATTGCTCAGGTGAATAGCGTCACCGGGAGCAAGATCTTACGTATTCTCAAGGCTCATGGTATTTCTATTAATGTTTAATTATTAGTTTGTGTGTGTGTATGATTTATCTTGAGAATATGATCTGAAATATGGTTTCTGCTCAGGGCTTGCACCTAAGATCCCAGAGGATCTTTACCACTTGATTAAGAAGGTTGTGGCAATAATGAAACACTTGGAGAGGAACAGGAAGGATAAGGACTCCAAGTTCCGCCTGATTCTGGTTGAGAGCAGAATCCACCTCCTAGCTCGCTACTACAAGAAGACAAAGAAGCTTCCCCCCGTCTGGAAATAGTAAGTCCTATTTGTTTGTTCTTAACGCTTATTCATATTTCTTTTGATTTGAGTTCCATGATTTTGGTACCTCTAAAATGGTTGTTGATTGTTGTAATTGTTCCTTAATCTTAAACTTCAAAATACATTATGAGTAATGCTGCCCATCCTTTCAAAATTTTCCCCTCCAATCTTGTAACACCCCAGATTTTCAAGACGTTTAAAACTTATATAATAAAGGTAATATCTCATTACATCCCAAAGTGTATCATAAGTGTACGGGGTGCTATGCCACACCTAGGCTAGAGAACCCAGGTGCACAGGCTGTCTAGCTAACATCCACTGAAATACAATGCATAATATGGCACGCAGGCCGAAAGGGAAACTAATCTATTCCTACGCTCCAGTTCTAACGCGCTCCAGTGCTCTAGTCCTCTGTGCCTGAAAGCCAAATATATCTGTTCAGCGAGAGATGCTGGTAACCCACTCCAACGCGTTGAAATACAATACATATAGAGATATATATAGATATACGAAAACCATTTTGAGCATGGAGATATATCCTACGAACTCTAGCTTTAAAACCGGAAACGACTCGACAGATAAGGCCAGACACAAGCAACAGTTATAACGAGCATATGCAGTTCACAACAGATAAGGCAGATCAGGCAAAGCATAACAATAATCACAACCCAACATAAACAATCCCCAACATAAATCCCACAGTCACATTCCTCCAAAACACTCATAATCACAACTCATCCATATCACAACACATAGCACACTTTGTTGGCGCCACAGGACCAATCGCATGCCCATACATGAGGGTCAGCGCATATAGCTCTGACACGGCCCCGCAGCACCCTGCCCCGTATCGCAACACGGAGGGGTCGATCGCAACCGACCGATGAACCGCAGCTCATCATGGTGTTTGATCGCAACCAAACAGTGGACCGCAGCCCAAGAGAATGTCATCTGACCGCAGCCAGGAAAGAGGACGAACCGCAGCTCGTATAGAAACGTTTGATCGCATCCAAACGGTGGACCGCAGCCCAAGAGTATCAATTTGACCGCAGCCAGCTTCTGAACCGCAGCTCAGGAAAACCAATCCGATCGCAACCGAATTGGGGTAACATACACACATATCACACAGCAAGCACATGCAACCCATATTACACATTGGGAAGGGGGAGAAAGCGCATAACAAAACCTATGCGTGACCCATCACATACTAAGGATAGTCCTAAGGGGTTCATACTTCTTCCACCAAGGTTAGCGGGGTACCAATTCAACTAGCATGCAATACAATAGACTCATAAACCTACGAACGGTACCCGAAACATCAAACTAGACATAGGCACGAAGAACGGAGTCCGTTGGGACACCACGGGGAACGGGGAAATATCAAACGGGGAAGCCGGGATCCCAAGGTGGGATAATTTCCAGCGGGTAGCCGGTGGGTGGGGGCCACCCGCCGGATTTCACTGTTCCGGGCAGCGTGTCGCCGGCGGGTAGCTGCCCGCTGCCGGAGATACACTTTCCGGCCGTGGGTAGGTGGCGGGTCCCCTACCCCCCACCTACCCCCCACTGACTCTTATCACACAATTTCGCCCCGGGAACCATTGTGGAACCCGAAACCATGCTTAGACACTTTACAACGCAATTAACGACAACACGTAGACAATTAACGAATCAAATACAAGAATCGAACGGCACATAACTTACCATGCTTTTCTAAATATAATCAACACCCAAACATGCGATTTCCCCACCCGATAATCCAAAAATAAGATCATATGATACAACCTAGGGTTCTAATCACTTTTATATCAACAAGAATACGGTTCGTCTTCTAATTGCAGGATTCGGTAAGAATAACACATAAACATCAAGATCATCACACAATTATCAAGAACAACACATAATCATCAAGAACTCCATATAATCAACAAGAACACCATAATTATCAAGAATCTCCCAATATCAAGAACATCAAGATCCTTCATGGAATTATCACATCAAACATCAATAATAATCATCACATCTCGCCAATACACAATAATATGGGGGAAACCCTAAGGGGAAATCATAGCTATGAAAATAGGTTTTGTTGAGACATGGGTTACCTCTTAGCCTTAATCAATTCCTTGGCTATGAAGGATATTTCTCTAAGCTTCCTTGCTTTCTTGATTTCTCCTAAGGGGATTCTTGGAGCTCTTTTTGGGGTGGTGGGGCGTTAATCTCGTGGGGAGTCCTAGGTGCCTCTTAAGTCCCCTATTTATATATTTAGGAGTCCTAATTAGGAACTAATATTATAGGCTCGCTAATTCTATTCCTTTTGGAACTAAGGATTGGGTTTAGGGGTTGGGTTTATATATGAGGGCCCATGGACTATGGTGGGCCTTTTTCCCTAATTAATTATAATTTATTCTTTCTCTTGGGCTATTGATTAATTAATTAAATGGTTTTAGGGGCCGTAACACGGGGTGTTACACTCTCCCCCCCTTACAAGGGGCTTCGTCCCCGAAGCCCGGTGTTATAGTCCGTCCTTTCACCCCTAGACACCTCGTAGCTCGGCCTCCTGATTAGGGTTGCGGCCTTACGTTTGTCTTGGCTTGGGGTAGGCTGAACTTTTGATGGTGTTGTGATAAAGAAGTTTTCGGTTGTACCTCGGTTTCCTGCGCTGGAACTGGGTGCACCGCGAGTGCCCAAGGCGGCCTCGATCGCTGCTAGCCTTTGATCGAGTGCGCGTGTGGTGCAAATCAAGGATGAGAACCCTTCGTCCATGATTTGATTCTGCCGGTCGAGCTGTGCGAGTATGCGTTCGTTGACCGAACCCTCGTCTTGCCCCCTCGGGTTCCCTCCTGGCTGTGGGTGCACTGACGGGTTAGGCCCGTCTTCCTCCTCTTGTTCTTCATTTCCCTCCGTGCCTCCGCAATCTTGCATGGCCCGCTTGAGCTTTTTGTTGGAGATGTCCAACCGATCAACCAATTCCCTACGTTCCTCCTCGGGTTTTTGGCAAATTTCTTCAAGGGTGAGATACTGTCCTCCTTCGGTGTAGTAGATGTCGTTGCGGCGGAGGTTTTGGGCATTGAAAACCATGCCATTGGCGGTTTTGACCTCGGTGTGGCTTAGGTCTACCCCCTTTTTCTCCATGATCCAACTTAGGATCATCCCTTAAGGTAGGCTAAGCCGGTTGTTTGTTTTGCAGAACTCTATGTGCTTTAGCATGAGTGCCGGCAGGTTGAACTTGATTTTATGTTTTAGGAGATACGCAAAGGTACACTCCAAGCTCGCCACATCTTTGCTCTTGTTACTGGTGGGTAAGAGGCTATCGGTTATAATCATAACCAATATCTTTTGCTCCGCCGATAGCCACTTTCGGTTTGGTCGAGTGGCCGAGGTGAACCCGTCCACTTTCCCGAGTAAGTACCCGAGATAGTCTTTGTATCCCATAGTTTGGGTATCAATCCACCCCTTTCGGTCATAGTTAGACACACCCGTGGTGGTCAATTTCAAGAGCTTGGCCAACCGGCCTTCGGAAAGCACAATTTCCTTGCCACGGACCTTGGTGGTAATTTCTACTTTGTCACCCCGTTTGGTGGCCACAAGGTGTTGGTAGAATTCTTTCACCAATTCGGGGTATGTGTCCCCTTTAATGGCGAGGTAAGTATCTAAAAGCCCTTGGTGTTTGAGCATGTCAACCAATTCCGGAGAGAATTGGTCGGGTTCAAGTGATTTACCTCCGATTACGGTGTAATCGGCGTTGCTCCACTCCGGGTTGCGGATTCCGAGGGGTTTCTTTGGCATCGTGATATGTGGCACGTTTCCGACGAGTTTTCCGGCAGGCCTCCGGCGAAATTTCCGGCGAGCCTCTTTTCCGATGGAGGTTCGAACTGCGGCGATGTGGCGTCGGTTGGGGTGGAGTCCGGCGATTGCTCGGCGGGGTGGCGGGGGTCTTCGGTTGCGTGGGGCGTTGATAGCAGCGGGCAGAGCTCGGGTGGATGGCGGGTGGCGTCCTCGGTGCTGCGGGTGGTCTCCGGCGAAGCGGTTCGGACGGCGGTACGGTGGTGCGGCGTCGTCCGGGCATGGTCG